GCACAAGCGATATGGGCGACTTGCCATTGTGAATTGCATTGGATGTCTGACTAAAATGCGTTAATGTTGTTGTTGTTGTTTATGTGGTGGTGTAGATGTTTAGGGTGGTGGTGGTGGTGGTGGTGGTCAACAGTGTGCTGCAATATCTACTCACTAAGCCACCTACCAATCTACTCCTTCCACCCCACCTCTCCACCTTTCCTCCATCAACGATGACCATTGACCACATCTGGAGGCTGGTCATTCCGCCTAACTCACTTCTGTGACTGGTTTTGTCTCCAGTGGTGCCAGCACGTCGTCATGTATTGGAAACAGCTTACCACTTTGCCTTAAATAGCACTGCATTCGCGTCTGCCAAAAAAGCATCAACGTTTGTTCTCACAAGTGGGTGTCTACTTCAACAATTCACTGCGAATCATTTGTTTTACGGCATTCACATGCCACGGCGATAGCAACAACACAGTCTTCCGCTGTGTGTGTGTGGATGGGTGGGTGTGCAGAAGTTACTTGTTTAGCACCATCTCAAAGGAGGAAGCCATATTGACACCTGAGGCTCGAATTCGGTGGTGGGTGGACACAAACGTAGTGGTAAGAGTAAGACAAGGCACTGGATGCCAGGCGTCAGGGATGCTTGAAGAAGCGACATTCAGAGGCGAGAACACTGCGTACTTTCACCTGGTGGAAGGGAGGAGGTGACTGTCAAGTCATCGTCCACATACCCAGTGACAATGACTTGTTGAAACTTGCAGAGGACTGCACAATGCAACAAATCATGCTACGATTGTGCGTCAGCCTGTTAGTGGTGGTGCACAGCATTTCGCTCTCTCTCTCTTTCTCACTCTGTTCCTCTCTTTCTGCATTTGGCTTCTCAGCGGAGCTGTGCGATTGGAGAAGAGTCTGTTGGAGTTGTGAGCAGAGGTGTTGAGTGTCTTGGAGAGGCGTGTTGAGATCTACTAGGAGGAGAGTAGAAAAGGGTTACACAAGACTGAGCACAGTGGGATGAGAATTGGAGGTGAGTGAGGCGAAGAGCAGTGCTGGCGACTCTCGAGACCCCACGGAGCTCACTTTGGTGGGAGGATGAAAGAGTGGGAAAGAAGAGCAGTGGTGTTTGGCAATTCCTAAGTTTCTGAGGTGTTAACATTTCTTCGACCACAGTATGTGACCTGCATCCCCATCCACATATCGCACAGACGTGCAGTGTGTGTGATTGGGAATGGGCAAATGTGTGGTTTCGTCGGCACGCTAAATTGGGAATGGGCTGATGGGTGTTGAAGCGAGTGAAACTTACAACCGAAACAATGTGCTTCATCAGTCACGTCCTCCTTTTTCCACCCCTCCTTCCCACCATCAACACCACGTCGTCCTACTCCTGCTCCACCACCAAAACTCC